CTCTCCCCCCCCCCCCCCCACGCGTGATCTCGGATGCAGGACCTTCCCGGCGAGATGGAGGAGGGGCCTGCGGGAGAGACGCTTACCGTTGGCCACCCTGGAGACCGTGAAGTCCATGGCAAAACTGACCAGCGCCATGAGGACCCCCAGGGCGAAGAGGAAGTACCAGTCATCTCCCACGCGGAACAGCTGCCGCTTCACACACGCCAGGCAGCCTGCAGGGGGCGGCAGAGGGCAGGGGGTGGGCTGGGCTCCCAGCTCCCCCCCCCCCCCCCCGGGTTCTGGTGCCCGGCCCCACCTGGACAGCTCCCCGAAAGGTGTGGGTGGGTGCTCAGCTGGAACTTAAAAAAAACAAGAACAATACACACAACAACAACTTTTAAGATTATTCCCAAGAGTCAGCTGGCTGATGGACTTAGCCACTGACTGCCCTTGGGTCCTCAACAGGAGGGGGAGGGGGAGGCGGCCACCCGCCCCGAGGTGGAGGAGACGGAGACTGGAGGTGCGCGGCTGCAGGGCAGGGAGTTTCTCCAGAGTGTCCGGGGACGGGTGTCGCTCCACTTGGGATGGCCTGGTCACCCCCACTACGGAATCTGAGGCCTCTGGAGGGGTCTCATCTCCTGCACCCCACCAGGAAGGGTCTGCGGTGGTGGAGCCTCGTCTTGGTAGGAGTAGGGCCCAGTCGGAGGTGCTGAGAGGGACCACTCCCCACCTGAGACCCTGGAGAGCCACTCTGCCCCTCAGGGGAGGAGACCCCGACAGGTTGGGAGGGACCGGAGGGGGGCTGGCTGACTCCCCAGCGGGCATCTCTTCCTCCAGGCATCTGGGCGTCCGGCCCTGCTGGTCTGTGCCAGGAGAGCCGGATCCGAGCCCAGCGGGACCAGGTGTCGGGGGGGGGGGAGGAGCTGTCAAGAGCCCAAGGCCCCTTCGTTGCCAGAGAGGGGTCGGAAGGAGAAGGCGTCCCAGATCTACTTGTGTCTGGCCAAGGGACTTTTGACTCCCCGAAGCCCCCCCCCACCCTGATTGTCAAATGACCTCACCCCAGCCCTAATTTCATTTTAAAATTGTTTGGTTGAAGCATAAAAAGACCTGCCTTTTGGAAGACTAAAATTCTGTTTTAGCTCTCGATGAAAAAAGTCATGATGCCAGGATCA